ATATCAAAATTAAAAATAATAAAACAAAGAAAACATCAATCACACTAACCCCCGTACCTAACATTTGGTAATTTGATCCAAATTTAGTCTCCAATCAATATTTTCCATTCCAGATCGAGAGACCTTTATCATCAATCCCTTAACTAATCCCACTTTTACAACCTAATCAGGACGTTAATTTCTAATAACTCCAAGAGAAAAGTTAATCGTTTATATACTCTACCTCCCCATTGTGGAAATCAGGTGGCTAAAACTAAGGGCGGTCGGCTATTGGTTACTTGCTTACAACTTACTCCCTGATCCATTCCACAATATTTCTTAAATTTTGGTTTTAAATTAATTCTCATTTTTATTTTTGTAGTTTAGTAATACATTATTATTTTATTTTTATTTTGCAGTAGTTAAAAGTTACATTTAATAATTTATCTCATCATAAATAATATCTTTATTTTAAAAATATTAATACAGTAATTAATTAAAAGTAGAATTGAAAAAAAAAATATAAATTAGTTTTAATTGAAAACGATCTAAATAACTCAATGGTCATGTCTTTTTACTGGAAGTAAGAAATTATGAGTTCAAGTCACATGGCATGCGGGTGAGGTGGGATAAAGGATAAAAAATTATTATCTCTCATTGTGCAACCAAAATAAATTAAAAAAAGTTAGTTTTAATTCTTATTTTGTGTAAAATAGTTTAAAAAGAATAACATATATAGTAAGAAAATGAATTTGAGCCAAAATTTGTGTACAATTTCCATATAATTTTATATGTAATTTTTTTAGTATATTAAATGATAAGTTACACTTATATAACATGAGATAATTATTTTTTTTCAAACTCCTTTTTACCTATTGTAGGATTTAAATATGAAATTTCTAATATAGAGATTCAAGCTATTAATTAATAAGATGTTTCTTGGGAAACATTTTATATATAATTTTTTTAAATACCTAAAGATTAGAGATTGAATTTTAAATTTATAATTAAAAATTTATTAACTCTATTTTTAAATTACATAATTAATAATACATATTATATATAATTTAATGATTAATTATTTTACTGTATTAAAATTTATAATATTGTTTAACTTATTACAGTTGTAATTAAAAATAATAGAAGTATGTCTTGTGCACATCATTAAGCTAAATGGTATAAGATAAAGGGAGTAGAACAAGCTACTTAATACTAGCCCTAGTAATTAATGTATTTGGAATCCACCTCCCACGATTGTATCATAGAACAGAGATTTTATTGCAATGGGATACCGACCAATCTCCACCGTCCACGTTGCTGACCCTTGCCGTCAACTCAACCATGTCAAATCATCATAATCAGTCGAGCTGGCGTGCACTAAGTGATTGTGAATATCTTTATATATATATATATATTTGGGAAATGCAATCGGAAGAAAAGAAAACGGTTTTATCGCTTCTGAAAAAATTTTCCATTTAGGATTAACGAACTTCAATTTAGTGATGCCTATAATCAACAAATAAACATTAATAGACGCTCGAAACCAACACGCTCTTTTCTGCTACTTTAACTTTAATCAACTACTAAAACAACAATTTCCAAACTAATTCAATTGTTCTCTCAATATTGATTGAATCAAGACTATGTTCTGATTTTTGGGATCATGAACTAGAATGTGCGGAGCTTAACGCTACCATGAACCAAAAGTCTGGCACGTAGCTTATTAGGTTCACAAGTCTTGAAATATGTATTTAACTTGTTATACTCCGCATGTGAAATTTGACATCTCAGACCATATATTTTGGTATTCCACCTCAAAAGAGATCTTGATGCTCTTGAACTGCTGGGAAATTATCTTATTAGTGCTTAGTTTTGATACACATATATGAGGATTAATTGAGTCAGTTTAAATTTTAAAAATTAGACTATTGAGTTTACAATTATCTACAGATATAATTATCATATTCTAAGAGTATCTCATGCATTGATGTGAGAGAACTACTTAATTATATATACATATATAAACCTAGACGGTGTTTTTTTCTTTTTTCTGATAACCCTAGATGGCAAAACCTAACATAAATATAACAAAGGAGAAATCAATATAATGGCCGACAAGGGAATATTGTGGTTCATGTAGAAGGGAAACACGTTGGCCCGACTGCATTTGGAGTCCAGAGCAGCCTAGAACTATGTGGGTCAGATGATGACCATTGTCTACATAAGATTTGTAGCCATTATGGCAAGCAAATTCTTTTGTTTTTTTATTTTTTTTTTGTTCTAAAAAATATTGGCAGAACCCTCAAATCACCCCCTGACAAATATGGGTAGGGATGGATCCACCCCTAAAAAAAAAGCAGGGACAAATGACACCCAAAAGTATCGATCTACCCAAATCGATCATTATCTAACAGGTGATGTCATCACCGTCACGATCTCTGTTTAACCTGTGCCAACGTATCATTTTTTCACATGCTGGAAGCTGATGTGTACCAATCTTGCCCGTTTCACACACCGTGTCACCCTTTATTCCCCTTTCCTTGTCATGGACCCCATTTAGCCCTAAAAAAGGAAGAAGGAAAACCTAC